TCTGTCGGTCTGCCTGTTGGTCTGTCGGTCTGGCGTTCTGTCTGTCTGTCTTTCTGTCTGTCTGTCTTTCTGTCTGTGAATGCTTGCCTTTAATGATATTTTGAAATATTAACAGCTGTCTCATTTGTGGGCGTAGCTTGCCACCTGCCAGTCAAACATAATTTCCTGTAAGATTCGTTATGAGAGTAAGATTTTTAAATAGTTTAGGGAAACAGGATTACAAAAGGTTATTTTAGATCATGACGTTATAAGGCTTCGCGACTGATATATCAGCGAGCGGTATTAGCTATCGCCTAAAGAAACTCCGACTGTCGTTTAAAGCTGAGACATTATCCGACTTATGTAAGTGTAATTGCAAAGTATTGTATCTATTACAATAATAGTCTTTGGTTGGTTTTCATTAGGAGAATACAATGTAAAGACACCATCTTATTGTTTTGATGGGATCTAAAGATATTTTAAAATTTGTATTCCATTTTAAATAATACTAACCGGACAAAAGGGCGCGTAAGTTATATATATATATATATACATAAAGATATTTTAAAATTTGTATTCCATTTTAAATAATACTAACCGGACAAAAGGGCGCGTAAGTTATATATATATATATATATATATATACATATATATATATATATATATATATATATATATATATATATATATATATATATATATATATATATATATATTCGTGAGGGGAAAAAAGCTTTTTTGTTGCCATTATTACATTATTTACCTATTTCATACACAATGACAATCTATTCACATTTTGTCGAATTCTTCTTTTGTTGACAGACTAGCAATCTGACATCATGTTGAATAAACAATTTCAACAATTTCTGTTAGCGGTGGTGATTTTTATCATCAGCTCTCAATGGGCAGAAGGTGAGTGAAGTCTATATAAAACTTGCCTTGAAGTAGGGACTCCGTGTTCGGATTTTAGATCTTAAGACTGGTAATCTAAACGTCTCGAGTTGGGATCCCGGGCTCGAGTATGTAGGGTGTCATTGAATTCACTCATCTCTAAAGGGTAGCCTGAACCACGTTACAGAAACAAGTTTTAATTGTATAGTGCTGACCACACAATACAATATATGCCGTGACATAACACGAACGGGAAATTATGATGTTATTACGTAAACAATAGAAGACGGCATTAAAATGTAGCGTTTTTAAAAAAAAGGAGGAATTGGATGTTAAAGGACGTCCTGCGAATGTGGGAGTCAAAGACTGGGTGAAGAGATTGTTAGAATTAGTATGTAATGTTCGTGTCGCCAGTGGCTTGAGTAGGGCAAGGGGGGGGGGCTTCCAATATATACCCTGGGACATACTTTCGATTTGCACCCCTCATCAAACTTTCAATTTGCACCCCCCCTATACTTTATATATATATATATATATATATATATATATATATATATATATATATATATATATATATATATATATATATATATATATATATATATATATATATATATATATATACCGAGGGGTCTATGGGGGGGGGGGGGGGTTATTACCCCCCCTAACCCCCCTGCCTACGCCACTGGAGTAGGGGTTTGTTATGTGATTTGTAATTCTAGTGTTTACCAATTTATAACAAACAGCCCATTGTTGTATCTTAAAAAATCACGTTTAAAATTATTTAAACATTTTTAGAAAATGAAAAAAATATAATCAAGTAATTTAGGACATTTTGCAGGTTAAGAGAGGCAGGTATTCTGTGGTCGGCGTCCGTACTAAATTGTTAAGTAACGACATAATAGGTTTGCAGTATATGCTGTTGAATGTGGGGATTATCGAAAAGTTTCAATAGTATAATCCTATATGTCGAAAAGAAATTGCAAACTTAACTACCTAATACGATACTTTTTTTTTTTTATAATTAAGATAAGAGCGACAAAGAAAACGAAAGTGAACAAAAATGATTGCATGATCAGTATCAACGAAAGAGCTGTTTTAAAAGTATTTAAAAACATGACATACCCTTACAATCTTTTTCTTTTTTTATATGCTAGTAAGATTTGAAACCATACAATAGTAAAGATGTTACACATTTTTCTAATTGATTACAATTTATGAATGATGTATGTTCAAATGTTATGTAGCCAAATACTTTTACCCAGAGGCGTAGCTAGGGGGGGTGCAAATGGAGTGCGAATCAAAAATATGAAAGTTTGCCCCGGGAAGGGTCGCTACGCCTCTGGGGGGGGGGGGGGGTTGACACCACTAAGTGCCGCACCGGGTGACACCCGACCTCGCTACTCCACTGCTTTTACCGTGGTTTATCATTGGTTAATTTGTCAGGGAAAATCTTTTGATTATTTCTTAAGTCAGCCTATTGGTACTTGCTGAAACAAGACTACTTGCGGCTTTATACACTCTTCTTCCTATGCATCCATATGATTGGACCGTCTTGTTATATTCCTCTATTTCACTCCGCCTTCTTAAATCTTCTGTTTCCTAAATTGTTATACTAGTCCACTCTCTGAATTTGTTTTCCCATCTTGTCATGTGCCTGCCAATTTTAGGTTCTGTATACATTTTTGACGTTTTCAAAGTTCTAACTTTATTTTATTTTATTTTATTTTACACCATTAAGTAAATAAAAATATCATAGTAGAAATATGTGAAACATAAGTGTTAGAAGACATTTCGACATAACAATTATACAGAAGAAGTAAATTCTTAATGAAGCTATATATATTTATATATATATATATATATAAATATATATATATATATATATATATATATGTTTATTTATTTATATATATATATATATATATATATATATGTATATATATATATATATATATATATATATATATATATATATATATATATATATATATATATATATATATATATATATATATATATGGTCCAAAATATAAAATAGATGGGATAGAGTGTGTGCATCAGGCATGAATTCTAGCAATCTGCTCACTCCATTTTGACCATAAGCTATGACTGTACTTATCTACACTATTAGAAGGTGCACGAATCCAAAAGAACACAAACAAATTATTGAGGTGCATCACATTCTAATATCTCAAAGAATACCAAAAACCATCAGCGCTCCAACACATTCTCATACTTGACATGTATATGACAGGTACAACTCAATGGGACGGGGCTAAAGTGGTGGACGGAAAATGTTTTCTGCTGGTACAAACAGTAGTCAAATGGGACCAAGCTAAGGTTAGTACATCAAACACATTTTCTGGAAAAAAATTTCGATTTTCATTAGGGCCGTCTTAACTATATTAAAATATCGAATTTTCATAACACAACTTTTACTTCTGTAACTTTTTTTGTTATAAGCACTCCCGCGGATATCTGTCTTTTTCACTTTTCGAGTTGCTAACAAGAGTTTCATGTTTAACGCATAGATTAGTTTAAAGAAGACGGGGTGAGTTAATATCTCGTAGACCCTCGTAAAGTCTCGTTACAGTTGACTCATATCCTTACAGTGATTGTTGACACTACGCTTGTGTCTGTTTACGTCCCGTAGTTTTATTTGTTTATATATCATGTAAATAACCATTATAATTTAACACTAACACTTTGATTTGCTTTTAAACTGAATTCAAATAGCGTAGAATGTAAAGTTGACCTTTAAATTAAAAAATGTAATATTATATTATTGATATATTATATTTTTATAATATTTTGTTTGCCACATTCTTTCTATGTATATAATCGTTAGGCTACTGTGTCACTCCGTCTTTATGTTTTGAACGCTCTAGAGAAAACAAGGAAAATTAAAACGATCGCAGGCAATTTAAATGACGTCACATTAACGAATTGAAATTTACGACATCGATTCAAACGAAACTCGATTCAAACGAAACGAAACTAATAAAGTGTAAACTTCCCCAATATATGCCTACACATAAAATAATAACATCTTTAATTGAAGAGTAAAAACATAATTAAAAAATCGAATGCCAAAAAAGATAAACAATAATAATGACGTCATTGAAAAACAAAGAAAAAAATAAAGCCTTATTCAATTTTTACTTTCTCGTATATACGAAGTATAGAGAAAGTCTTGTAATCGTGCAAAAAACAAAATCGAGATTTTTATAAATCTCGACGGTTTACACCTCACTGATACGGAAAAACATAATTTTGCAATCTTGTCCGTGTGTCTGTGTGTCTGTGTGTCTGTGTGTCTGTCTGTCTGTGTGTAAACACGATAACTTGAGTACCGTTACTGCTAGGTTGATGAAATTTCATATATAAGTATTTTATCAAAATCGTAGATCCATGTCAACTTTTGAGCGATTTCCGATAACCGGAAGTGGTACTTTTTCTACTTTGAATTTTTCAAAAGCCTATTAAAGTACTATTTCAGATAGATAAATGAAATTTCACATGTGAGTATAAGATCTCATTCTCTACCTTCTGTTAAATTTTGAGTAATATCCGTTGACAGGAAGTACTAATTTACGCTATTTCCGATTTCTCAAAAAACGCATGTAAATTTATAAAGTACTAATAATATTGCGCACTATTATGCACATCTTTATTTTGCGATCGCTTGATGCGCAATTCTTTTTTCTATGAGATTCTCTTCTATTTTTAAAAGTTTAAGTAATTAAAAATCATGTCTATATTCCAAGTTATATAAGAATATTCGAAGGGGAGATCACTCCCGGTTTATTAAATTTTAAAGTGTTTGTAGATACGCTAAAAATACCGGAAAGTAAAATATATTATAAGCGTTAGTATTTGGATTATGGTTAGGGTAAGGTTTATTTTTAGTTTTATTTCAGGATACATTTCTGGATCCGGCTAAAATGCTGTTCCGAATAAAAATTCGTTTTTAGTTAAATATACATACCTATTAAGGCTCCGATTTCGGCTAAATTTCTGGTTGTGGTTAAATTTCTGTGAGGCAAATTTCGCCTGCGGATAAAGTTCCGTTTGGGGTTAAATTTAGTTACTGGTTAAAATGTCCGCTTCCGGATGAATTTATGTTTCAGTTTTTAATTTTGCTTCAGATTACATATCTTTTTTTATGTCTGAATAAATGTCCGGATTACGTTCAAATGCCGGTTTGATATAAAGTTCCGTTTCGGTTAAATCTAGTACCTGTTTAGGTTCTAAACTTCCGTATCCGGCTCAATTTACGGCTTCAATAAAAGTGCTGATTCCGGATTAATTTTCGTTTTGAAAGAAATTTTGCGTCTTCATAAATTTCCGTTTCTGCCTAAAGTTTCGTATCCATCAGGCAAAATTTACTGATCTGGTTCTAATACCCATTCTGGAATAATTCCCTTTCAAAGAAATTTTGTTTAAATTTCTCCCGTTACTGCCTGAATTTACGTATCCGGCAAATTTTCCGGATCGGTTAAAATGCCGACTCGGGATAAAATTCAGTTTTCAATTATAATTTTCTTTTCCGGTTAAATTTGATGTGAAGTAGGGATTTTGATTTGGTCTAAGTTCATAGAAAGAGACAATATGATCAACCTCGCCCACGCTCTATTTCTCCCTCAGCGGGTCACTAGTCTAGAATCGATTATATATATATATATATATATATATATATATATATATATATATATATATATATATATATATATATATATATATATATAATCACAAACACGGAGTTTGAATCTCTGAGCTATCTAGTATTTTTACCAATAGACTAAAACATATTATAAATGCGCTGATATTTTAATACATTTTTAAAAAGATACAAAAACCTATATTGATAATTATTTCCGGTGCTATATTGTGTTTTTTGTAATGTGATCTTATATAACCTAGTGCGTTTTCTTACTATGATTACGAGTATTTCCGCTCCTCCTTATGAAATTTAGTTTTTAGTTTGTCAAGTAAAGCGTGGTTCTGAAAATCATTTCCTCGAATTGTTTTGTCATTAAAAATGTTTTCAATTTCAATAAAAATGATCTTTGTTACCATGTTACTAAGTTGGTTAAATCTGATAGCAAGCATGTGAAGATATGGGAGGAACTCTGGCAACCGTGTCTTCAGCAACTCTCATGTCTGACATACGCTCCGCCTTTAACTATTACGGTATGTACACAATATAAGCTTGCCTGTAGCGTGTTGCCACGATCTCAGAAACGGGGTATCACTTATTCATTTTAGAGCTCATGTTATGTTAATATAAACAACACCGGTACTACATTTCTTGGTTTTACCTGTTGGGGCGCTGGTTTGTATTCAAAACGTATGTGCGTCCTGAAGCGCTAGTGTATATATCAATTATATATTCCTTGCTGCCTGTTTTTATTGTATTACTCGCTGTCTTCTCAATTTAGGGTGTATTTTCAACAAATCATTGCGCCGCGTTTCTCAAAAAAAAAAAATCAGAGAAGCTCAGGGTCACTCGATTAAGTTGCAAGAAAAAGTACTTGGTATAATGCTATAATTGATTCATATAGAACCATGTTGATATGGGTTATGGCAATAGTGGACAATGAAACATGGTGAATTGGTGATTGCAAACTTGTAATGTCCAAGACCCGTATAATGTTCAAGTCCTATGCACAGTTATATGTCGGTCTTCTCTCAAATTTCTCAGTAATTTATCAGCATTGAAGAAATAAACAAGAGCAGTAATCGGTATCAACGAAATTATTAATTTAAACGCCAGTCAATTACTTCAATACAATTATAGTGGCTTTGAATTCGTTTTTGCTTCAATGTATGTAAAATTTATAATTTAAGTATTAACTCGTAATTCAATGTTTATTTTATTTAGACTATCGAAAGTTAAGTACAGTCTAACACAGCATAACTGAAAACAAACGTTGTTATGTTTCACTATTTATTTGTTTAGTGAAGAGTTACTGGATTGGTCTAAACGACATAGCAAATGAAGGAACATATGTGTGGATTGAGGACGGGAGCACAGCCAGTGGAATCAGTAGCCTGTGGGGTGAAGACAGACCAGTAACTGACCCGGACAACGGATTTGACTGCATCTACGTCGACGGATCTAATACGTTCCTTGACGTACAATGTGCTATTGTTGCTACCAACTATCTGTGCATGGAGCCCAGTAAGATTTTTATACTATTTTCCTTAGGTTCTGATCGTTTTGTTTAAATATGTAAAATACACAATAGAATTAGAAAATATTGATCGATGGCTTCAAACCATCCTACAAACACATATTCACACCACTTTGTAATTGGACCAAATATTATGATGATATTAGTGAGTTGATAGCTTATCTATTATCCAATCTAACAAATACTTTTATTTTAGCTCTATACCAGCGGTGTAACATCACAAAACGTACATGTAATAACATTATTAAGTAATTATACCAGAGTGTCATGTGGTTATTGTTTTGTGTACCAATGTTTGATTACACAAGTGTACAAAATATTATGTTTTAATTTTAATAAAGTCCTATAATTTCACAGGGCCTATGTTGTTCTGACGTGCGTCATGTAAAACGTTATTCAATGTATACAATTTGTATTATTTTCAGATTTGGCTACAACAAATAGTATTAGATGTATATTATTATTTTCAGATTCTACTACAATAAAATGTATTACATATGTATTATTTTCAGATTCAACTACAACAAATTGTATACTAGTTTTTTTGGATTCAACTACAATAAAATGTATAAAACATGTATTTTTTTAAGATTCTGCTACAACAAAATGTATTAAATGTGTATTATTTTCAGATTCAACTACAACAAATTGTATACAACTTGTATTAATTTAAAATTCGACTACAATAAAATGTATACAATTTGTATTATTTTAACAATCGACTATAATAAAGTGTATACAATTTGTATTATTTTCAGATTCAACTACAACAAAATGTAATAATTATGTATTATTTTCAGATTCACCTACAACACATTGTATACAACTTGTATTATTTTCAGATTCGGCTACAACAAAATGTATTAATTATGTATTATTTTCAGATTCATCCACAACACATTGTATACAACTTGTATTATTTTCAGATTCGGCTACAACCAAATGCCCCGATCTAACAATAACAACTGAGGCTGCTACAACGACAAAGGCTGTCACCACGGAGAGTTCTGGTCGGTTTTTGATTGACTTGTCTGTTATCTTCTTGGTGCAATCTATGACCTCAAACACGTCTTCATTGAATACGTTCCAGACAGTGATTATTTTAAGAATTTAAGTCCCCCCTACCCCAACTGGAATTTTAAAAATATATACTTTTACCAGCTTCCACCCCCCCCCTCCTTACCCCCTCATACCGGGAGGGATGTTTAACACTGTTTCCACACCGTCGCCCTCACCCCCCCCCCCCCCCATCCCCTCGGCGATAGTTTCGATCACCTGTCTCGGCAAAAATGTCTGAAATAAATAAGTTTTATATATATAACACTAGAACTAAAACGAAATATATATTTTTTTTTATATTTCAATTATTTACTTCGAATAAAATTAATATCAAACTGCGGTTCCTTCCTCTGTATTTAAGTTTTAGTTAAGTTATTCGGAGGGGAAAAAAGGTCAACTGTCATATTACATCATCAGACATTGTCATGTGACATGACACCATCAGACATTGCCATGTGACATGACACATCTAACAGGGTCATTCGACATCACACCATCAGACATGGTCATGTTACATCGCACCATCTGACGTGGTCATGTGACGTCACACCATCAGACACGGTCATGTGACATCACACAGCTAAATCCGATTATGTTACGTCAGGCAGAGATGGTCATTTGACATTTAAATCAATATTTTAAAATGGATACGAAAATTTTCAAAATAAAGTGATACTAGTTTATAGATTTATATCAAGTTAAGTATAATTTAATACATGTATGTTTGCTTACATAATTTAACGCATAAAACTATGACAATTAAATCTGGCTTTAATAACGTGGTTTCAGAAACGACGCCACCAGTTGCTACAACGTTGACTTCTGCAACCACTTCAACTACAAGTAATTGTACAATTAACAACTAGCAATTAATTAAAAACTATTTAAAATTGAATTGGTGTCGTATAAGTTCATGGTTGCTGAACCGAAAAGTTCCGAGTTCGAACCATCGGGCAGATGAGGCTCGATAGCTGATGGCAGCAACTTATCTAGGAGAGACAACTCCTAAATAAAACAACAGCTGCTTTGTAGCTTGTTCTTGGTTAGACAAAAGCTACGGAAGCAAGCAACTATGAAAAGCAGACTGAAATCGTAGTCAAAGGCCTACAATGCGCATAGCATGTTTATACGTAATACTTAATTAAGAACAAAGAAACATTGTAACTGTATGTATTCATGTTTCTTTTTAGAAAAGCACTGCAAGAAAGGCTAAGAACACACGATTTCTTGAATGTAAGTTCATTACAACTACAGAACACACTGGTGATGTAGTTTCTTAAATAGTTTTTAACTGTAAAATGTTAGTGGTATGAAAATAGATATTTTTATTTTGCAATTCAAATTTTAAAAAATTACAGTAAAAAGTCTACTATGTATATGTAGTTTGAACTAGATCTATATTTATTTTGAAAAGCGAATCAATATATAGTGACCAAGGCGTCGTACATTGATTTTTTTGTACTTTAAATATGCAGAAAAAAAGACGTTAATAATTAGACAACAAACAAAATTAACACACTTTACTAGAATATGATTTAAGTATTCAGTGAGTAATAATAAGTACATTTAAATACTCTTTATAAAGCTTTTTTTTATCTTAGTTATTGGACAGTCGAGAAAAATGTAGAACAATATATAATACATTATAAATGTATATATAAATTTATATTTATATAAATTTATATGCAGCGAATTTTATTTCTCTAATGCTGTATTTGTTTTTAGAACAGGCTGTTCAACAAGTTCTAGACAGCAATGATTCCTACATCATTTCAAAACTAAATATTCTAATTCTGATTCAAAATAAGTCGGTAATTTTTGTCTGTCAAATATTTTAGATATGGAATTTTATTTAAAATAATTAATTGTTAAGTGATAAAATAAAATCGTACAAGTTTTCTCAATTTACAACAAAGTTTAAATAAAGAATTCTTCAGACATAGTAACTACGCTTGTTTTATGTTTATCAATTTGTCAAAGTATTTCTTTCATGTACGAAAATACTAAAGTGACAATCCATTTGCTTGGTCAGAAATATTTCTTTATTCTCTTTGGAGTTTTATTGGTAGGATTTAAATTATAGCTTATGACCAATAGAGGCAGATATCAAGGCCCGTAAATGGGGATGGATAGGACACACGTTAAGAAGAGAAAAAGAAAACATCGCAAAACATGCTATGGACTGGAATCCTCAGAGAAAAAGGAAAGTGGGCCGGCCAATGAAGACATGGAGAAGAACGGTTGAGGAAGAGGCGAAAACAGCTGGGCTCACATGGGCACAGATTAAGAGAGCAGCCCAAAACAGAGTCCGCTGGAAATGTATAGTTGCAGCCCTTTGCTCCCCAGGGGCCACAATGGAACGATGATAAATGTGAAGTAGCAAAAGTAACTTATTTTCGAACCTTGCAGTCCGTGAGCAGGTGAAGTAGAGTCAAGTTCCCATGGCAGATGAGTGGACGTCGTACAGACTATTGACTCTCGGTTTAGAAATCGAACTATATAACATTCAACAACATCGTCCCGACACTGGTGTATAACATGCTACATTTTTCTGTTGATGTTTTTGCTAATTGAATAGATGATCAGAAGATTTCTCGTGAAAAAAAAATCTCTGCTGGTTTGTTTACTTGACCCTAAGTTTTCCATGATCTGCATATACAGTAAATCGTTTCTGTACGAAAGGCAATTTAACATTTGAACCTGAGTCAAAATTTATCGAACATAAAACTATGAAAATCTTTGTGAAAAGAAGAAGGGACGTTTAATCAACAAATTTTTAAATATAAATTTTAATTAAAGCTAACAATGGTTAGATGAACAATGGGCTAACACTCTCCAGTAAAATGACCCATCCCTCTTCCGTGCTCCATATAGTCTATTGATTCAGTAAAGAATTAAACATACCGCATTTATTCAGGCGATGTAACTGGTACTGTTTTCTGACATCCTTGTTTTAAATAAGAATTATTTCCCCTGCATATAACACCATCGATAATGTTTTTTTTTTTTTTTTGGGCTAGTGTTTCCAAAAATAGGTCAGAAATTAAAAATATAAATGTGTTTAATTGTAATAATTTACCAGTGGAAAACAATATAGTGGCACTTCTAAACCACAAAAACATCAACAAATTATTTTGATAACGCATTCTGCATTTAAAAGTCGGTTATTTTCGAACTAGATTTTTGCTAAAAGAGGCAACAAATAAGGAAAAATTTACAGTCATTAGCCAAGAAAAAATAAACAGAACACATTACAACTATAGACGGAAGAAAAAGTATCAATGATTGATGTACAATACATTTTATAACCCTACATTATGTTAGTGAAACATTTCATAGTAACAAATGTGAACATCAAAGATATACTAGAACAACTTGTAAGCTAAATGAAGCAAAAAATAAAAGAGCATCTATGCTATTTTATATCTGGTATTATGCTTCATCATGGGATGGCATTGTGTAATAATATTGCAAACATTATATTGATGAAGGCATTTACTAACAGTCTTCGTTGTCTAGAGATGTAACTTTTATACAACATGCATTACTTTTATGCTTAAAGGTAACAATATTATAACTAATCAAGAATCAGATTGACAAAATTCGATTCATTGCATTAAAAAGTTTCAGTTTTTATGTGGACATAAATGTGTTATGATCTTTGAGTAGGTTATCAGATATTTATTTCATTTTAGTTTTCAATCACCACAGGTCACAGATTTTTATAAAGGTTTAGTTACAACCCGAAACAAGTTTAGAACGTAAAGAAAAACGTTTTTTTTTCTTCAAGGCAGGACTAGAAAATGGAGGCAATGTACCGCTCTTTTGCTTTGATGGTGTGTTTTTCATTGAGTAAACTAGTCAAGAACGGGATTAGTTATACAAGCTTTCATTTAGTTCGCAGACCTAGACCTAGACCTAGACCTAGAACTAGACCTAGACCTAGACCTAGACCTAGACCTAAACCTAGACCTAGACCTAGACCTAGACCTAGACCTCTAAAAATCGGTAATGAGAACACGAGTATGTTCTTTATGAGTGTATAGTCATCTATGAATGGAGCTTATGGAAGCAGTTAAGTGATGTTATGTAACATATGCGAACATGGCAGATATCACACATATTGTCCGCTCTGTTCTTAATCTTCTCTGTTGCACATTGTGCATAACTCCTGCGTTTTTATTCCTTTGATATATCAACTCCTGGTGGGGTTGAAGGAAAATTTTGCCTCTAAGACTAGATCTTGAGGTGATATCTCTTTGATGTAATCCCTAAATGTGAGCTCTTGCTATCATTTGCCCATATTCAAGCTTGGTTTTGCATTGTAGCTAGCGTTAATTTTTTGTAAAATTTAGGTATAAATGGCTTTTCGACTTCAAATCATTATCTTTGCATCACATTATCAATGTGTGAAACATGGAGGTCAGGTTCAGTGGACCAGTAATCTTCAAAGTTTAGAAGTACATGGTATCCCATCACAAGTTTCATTCTCAAAACTGTACAAATGTCTTGCGAATGAGTTTGAAAAAGAATCCCTTACTGTGGCATGCACAGTTTACTATCATCGATAATCAGAGTCACCAAGCACTCAAAATAACAAGGATTTAATTGCCTAAAACATTGGGATCTTCATTTCAAACAACATCTATTGTCAATTTTCCATAACCATAGTCATTAACTTTAATTTGAAACTGTGATTTCAGAAGCCTCTAGTTGAGAACAATGTTTTGCTCCAGTCTCTTTTTTTTTTCAATTATCACAAGGACGTTTGGTTGTTCATGTTTTGGACAAGTCTAGTTCTATTGATGATAATGATATGTTTCAGCTTCGGGTCTAGAGTATTACCTCCCCGTCACCCCCCCCCCCCCCCCCACCTCCCCGATAATGAAAAGCCCTGATCTCAACCCCAAACTCCACGCGTATAGCTAACCCTAACATAAATTCCTAACTCTAATTCTAAACCTACATTCAACCCTAAAACTAGCCCTAACCCTAACCTAACCCTAGTCCTAACTTATCTATTACTGGACAAGTGGTAATCGCTCGGAGATGGTAATATCGGATGGGGGTATGTCCGAGGGGTAAATGTCACTATTAACGCTCCCTATGAGGTGAAACGTCTAGTGTACATCGTACCTTTTTTGTACGGGGTGTTCTAATAGTCTCATACAAGGTAACATGTATTTTACGAAATGACAGCGCGGCATGTTCACAAATACTGCGCGGCCGCGCGGCCATGCAGTTTAGAGGGAATATTAGTCACTATAGCATGTGAGATTGGGAATGTATGCAAAACAGAATGACTAAAATAAGGTGTAGGCCTTATCGTAGTAGTGACATTCTGCTCTAGGACTTGAACAAGTAGTTCGATTATAGCTTCTAGCCTTACTTTGTCGACATTTTCTACAGAAAATTCACATCTTTTTCACAAAGAAGCAAGTTGTTTTCATCGTCTTTATTGTCTATAAACAGTATTTGCTCAGTATTTTGTTCAGTGAAAGTAAAAAAAAAAAGCCATTTGTATTCTAATGCCAAAACACATGCTTAGCGACATTGTAAAAAAAGTTAGCTCCCTTCCGGACCGTAGGGATATATAAGTCCGAAGCAAAAAATTACTTTAAAAAAAAACTAGCAAAGCTATTAGGAAAAAGTAATGTAAATATAAATCCCAAATAGTAAACCTCTGAAAAACCGCCAGTAATTTGTTCTGCTACAGTAAGTATTTTTTATATGATAAACCGGTAGTGATCTTCCCTAAACTTACTCGAATATTCTTAAATGAGACGTCAGGGGATGACAACTTGGGATATAGACATGATTTTTAATCCATTTTAAATACTTAAAACTTTAAAATAGAATAAATTCTAGTAGAAAAAAGATTTGCACATTAAGTGAACGCCCAAATAAAATGTACATAATAGTGCGGACTATTATTAGTACTTTATAAATTCACATGCGTTTTTGATAAAAAGCGAAAATTACTACTTCGGGTCAACGGAAATAACTCAAAATTCAAAAGAAGGCAGATAATTATATCTTTTGGTTACACGTGAAATTTCATTTATCTATCTGAAATAGTACTCAAGTTATAGGCTTTTGAAAAATTCAAAGTAGAAAAACTTCCACTTCCGGTTCTCGGAAATAACTCAAAAGTTGAAACGCATCTACGATTTTGATATAATACTTATATATGAAATTTCATCAACCTAGCTCTAACGGTACTCAAGTTATCGTGTTTACACATACACACACACATACGGACAAGATTGCAAAATTATGTTTTTCCGACTCAGGCAGCTGTAAAACGTCAAGACTTGCAAACATCTTGGTTTTTTCTTTTGCACGATTACAACACTTTCTCTATACTTCGTATATACGAGAAAGTAAAACTGTAAACTGTACGAGTGGTCAAAGTTCCCAAAAATATGACAACAAAACTATCTCATATATACTGAAAGCAGCTTTATTTATATTAAGTCTAGCTAGTAATTTGGAAGACATATGTCACTTGGTCCTCAAAGGGTTAATGCAAGGGAAATAATACTTATATTAAACTAAGATGTAAGAAAACCATACAAGTTACATCGCCTGAATAAAATGCGGTATTTTTAACTCTTTACTTAGACAATGGACATTATCGAGCACCTAGGAGGGGATGGGTCTTTTTCCTGTAGACTCGATTCTGGATATTTACCAATACATTGTGAACGTCAAAGGCAACTACTATAGAGGCTTATGGTGCAATGGTGCAAACAGAACAAACAAGCTAACAGCCCAGTACACAAAAAATGGACATTAAATTATGAGATTTTTCATAATACAATTCACAACTAGATTTTACATCCGAACTATATTATTCAAATTTTTTCAA